GAGGCATACGCTGCAGGTCTGTGTTTAATGAGTGCTCAGAAGGTGCAGAAATGGATGGTGTAGGTCAAGAAAAAAAGATGTTTCTCAGAGAAAACATCATGGTATTCTACATTTAAAAGCTCAAGAGATAGGACAGGGGTTTGGAGAAGCTCATTCTTACAGCACATTACAGTTATTGTAAAGCCCCAGATCAAACCTTCTCACTTCTTTGCCCAGTGACAAAGTGAAGTACACAGATCTAAGTGAGGTGATAGACCAATAATATTCATGTAAATACAAATATGCACCACACTCATTACTTATTTTGCTCTCACAGCCTTCTGATGAGGACAGGTCAATGCATCCTCCCCAGTTCTGTATTAATGCCACAACATCTTCATGAAATCCCACAATGAGTGAACTTCCATTAATATACATTGTTGCCCGTAACCATTGCCATAACTGCCTATGGAACTGTACTTTTCTTTTTAATGCAGTATTTTGTCATGCTGAGGTGAGGATCTGAAGCGTATTCAAAAGTATCAGTGAGGGAATATTATTGTTCTGTTCATTGAGATGAAAAAGTCTCAAAGAATTGTACTTGATGCGCAGTGGGCGTTTGTTGATTAGATTGAAATGATCAGAAAACAGATATAAATTATGCAGACCTAAACTAGTCCTTTAAAAGGTTAAGCAGAATAATTAGATTTTAAGGTCTGGGAACTGCACATGTCACATCTACATGTGACTCCATATTATTTGTAGACAGTAGTCTCAAAAGCTAACAATAACAAAGCTTGCATGGACTGGGACTTAAGAATTATCATATTTTAAAGGATTATCATCATATCAAAGAACAGGGTCTTCATTCAAGCCCACACATTTACTAACCTGTACAGGCTCACCATCTACTTGAACTTGGCCTGCTATTTCCATCATATCCAATGCCAGGTGGCAGATAGATCGTGCATGATGAATGCAAGGCTCTGGTAGACCACTCACTGTCATGTACTTGTCCCCAACTGTTTCCACCTATCAAGATACATATTTTTCAATCGCTTTATTATCGTGGACTTTAGAGTACTAGAATGGACGTAGTGCTTCCTTCACGACTGCTTGTCCTTTCAAATAGTTTCTCTTCATTTTCATTCAAATCACCCTAACTGCCATCATCTCTGCTTCTTATTGAAAAGAATTTATTGTATGTCCACAATGTAACAAATTAAAATGACACTGTGATTGTGTGAACTTGAGCCTCTCTTATGGGGTCTTCTGAATTTCCGTAGAAACTGAGCACTATGTTTATTTTGACTCACACCCTTGATTCACTTTGTACAGGACACAAAATTGACTTCTAGTAAAAGCTAGGAATGAATCTTATACACAAAAGCACACAAGCATACATGTGTACATATATATGGGATATATATGTCTCTTTACCTATCTACCTGCTACCAGCTGCATCTGCAACTACACCTCATTCCTAATGAAGGAATGAAATTCACATTGAGTAACTGAATAATAAGTTATAATTTACAACCAGATGACCCAGGTACATGACTGAAAAACTTAAAAGCACAGGGTCAGCAGAACCACAAACTGCTTGTACAAGTGTTGACATCTGCTAAACATGGAAGTAGATTTATATATCCACCTAATGGGTGACTGTGCAGAAATCCTGCCGAGATCTAAGCCCTTTATGTTCCTTCACACATTTAGAGATAAACAACATACTCTTCTTTAGCTATGTAATATCAGGTAACACAGTTCAGAGAGTGAGAACATAACTATTTTTTAAAAAAAAGCCTAAAATCCAAAGGATGGAAAAGAGTGACATGATAGAAAATTATTGAAAAGTCACAGATTAAATACTTTTAAAATTTTCTACTTACCTTATAAACAAATGGATTCCTTCGTGAATCAGTCAGAATATCAAATCTCGTGTAAAGATCATTTAAAAGATTGACAATCTTCATGGCTCCCTCTCCAGAGGCATGTTTACTACAGAAGGCATTGAATCCAACAATGCCACTGAAAAGAATGGTCACATTGTCATACCGCTTAGCTGGAACAGGACGCTTGTGTCTCAGCTCATTTGCCACTGATGGTGGTAGAACAGAGTAGAGTAATCTAAACGTGTAAGAAAAGAAAGGCACAAGCAAAACAGAAAGAATGTGGAGAAAGGTCTTTACATCAGCACTCTTCAAATATTAACTTAGTACCTCCCATAGGGTTTATAACATACTCACATCATCAAAGAGCAATATAAAAGATGTTTACTGAAGAATATGTTATTTGGGAAACAGGAACTGATCTACATCAGCATATCTAAAGCCATGACATTTCATCAAACACACATTAATACATCTAAGTTACCAACAAAATGAGGCATATATTACTAATTCTTCTGACATGATCTGTTAATAGTGTCTTGGATCATTTTTGCTTATTGCTTAAGCATTTCTGCCATATCCTCAGCTCATATAATCTGGTTTTGCTCACAGAACCATAAAAACTGCCAAAAAGGCCATGAAGAGATCAAACAGTTTTCCACCTTTGATCAATTCATGCATTGCTAAATGTTTCCTCTTCCGTTGAGAATGCTGCTTTTAGGGTTTATTACATTTTTTAATTAATAGTCTATATGACATATTAACACTAGTTCATATTACAAATTATGCAAATAAAATCCAAATCACACACAGAGAGCTTCACCCTTCTCTCATGTGTATTTCTTCAACTTTCTACCTGCCATCTTAAGGTGTATTTCCCTCCTTACACAGCTAAGTGGGCAAGCTGAAGATCTCTGTTTCACAAATCCTGAGCATCATTTTGTACACAGCCTCCTGCACAAACCCTCATTAGCTGCATTTTTGGCAAGTTCACTACTGCATGAGTTATAATTAGTGAATACTTTTGGCACATGATATAGTAACTGATACCGTTCCAGCGGCTGCCAAGAAGGCTAGAATTCCTGAAGGTAAAATGACTTTATAAAGCAAGTCAACAGGAATGAATAGAAAAAATATTTTTTAGGCTTCTTTTCTCTCTGACTCTTCCGTCCATCCCTTTCAAGTCTTTTTACAATCATTTCCATTACTCTACTACAGAAAAAAAAATCTGTCAATAGAATTCATAGCACAACAAATGTTAATTCTACTACTAAACAATTATAATCCAGAAGAAATTCTTCTATTACAGAGATAGGAACTATGTTTTATAAACTAGAGTCAACCATCAGCCCCATACTTCTTGTCACATAAACTTTTGTTTAATTTACTTGCCAGCAGTCCTTGAGCTGAGCTGCCATACACTAATGCTATGAATTTGATTTTACAGTTATCTGTAGAAATGGATTTGGGGCCCAACACATATACTTTATTATTGTTCTGTACTTATATTTAGATAGTACTATTATCTAGATAGCCCCAAATCCATTTCTACAGATAACTGTAAAAACAAATTCATAGCATTAGTGTATTGCAAAACTTTACTTTTACATAGACTATTTTCAAGGCTTATAAGATATGTTTTTCTGTACTATTAACCTGTAAGCATGGCAGTCCAGAAAGACAAAGTGGTCTACAGCTGTTTTACAGTACTCTGTCAAATAGTAGCATTTGGGCATTCATCAAATTCATCTTGGCTACAGGGACTGCATGTAAGAAAGTTTGCAAAACTACTGTTTTAGGTAATTCACAAAGCAAAAAGGATTGTCAGTTCACTTCTCATTACTTCCCTTATCAGGGAAGGAGCCATCAAAACACCTGTGCATGTAACAGCCTAGACTGCAGATGACATTTGACAATCTAAATAAAGAAATACCCTATGAGGCATTAAAGTAAAATGTTCTTTCTTGACTCCAAAATTATCAGCCCTGAATATCTCTTACATTCCTTCCAAGATTCTGTTATTTTTTGAAGAAGGTAACTATAAATAATACATTGCCTTGACTGTTTCAGCTCAAAATCAGGATTTGGTTCTTACGTGTCTGTCTTTTTCTTTTCATCTTCCAGTGCACGCAGTGTGTGCTGCAGTCTGTCAGTGAGGATCTCAAGCTCTTGAGTCAGTTTATATTCCTCTCTGAACTGCTCTCCCAAAAGAACCAGATCACGGGTAGCATCATGCAATGGAATATCACTCAGATATAAACCTCTTCTGGTTAAATCATCCAAGTTCATCACACTGCAATGTGGAGGAATATATAATAACATGGGTACAATTAAACTGAATAACAGAAGAAAGATTATGCTTCTGAACTTGCAATGAGCTGTACAACATACCCCTTCTATGAAATACCTTACTCGTGTGCATTCATGCTAACACATGGCTCTTGATTTTTGCATTTAAATACAAAATTCTCACTGATGAGTTCCATGAACATATCAAATGTACATAATTCAGTGCACAAATAATGGTGAGATTACATTACGGTAGTCTCTTCCTTTTCTGTCTTCATCCACTCCCTTTTACACAGAAGATTAACATATTATAACTGTGTAATCTGATGTGTTAGCTCAACATGCTTTTAGCTAAAGAAGCCCTCCATTCAATCCCCCATTCCAACCACTTCTTTATAACCATCACTGCTCTATGACATTAAAACTACTGCAAAAATATATGAATCCACATAGGAAACCAAATCATTGCGACATTTCTTAGCACTCTGAGAGTAAGAAACAAAGGACAAAACTTGCCAAAAATCATGGAATTCCTATTTGTACAAACTGGGCCAGAGCATCCTAATGTTTATATTGAATTATTTAATAACCAGTCAAGTTCTGATGTTTAAATGCTCCTCCCTCTTTTAGTATAAACACATCAAAATCAATGAAATCAATACTTGAACCAATTAATCTCTATAGTACTACTCTCATACTTGTTCTTAAAATTAGTAATTGTAAAATGTAAATCAATATTATAGAACTCTTAAGGTTTAAAGTACCTTGGCGAACAAAGAAAGAGAATGCTGTCTGCTTCAGGCAAGTAGATCATTTGTCCTTTCAGGCGTAAGCAACTGATTTCTGTGCCAGTCAGTTCATCTTCACACTCCAGCTTTTCCACGTCCAGCAGCCCCTCCTGGTGATGAAAAGTCACAATTATATAAGGGCAATGGTACATGTGTTATGCACCAGGCCACATACATAAGTGCCTTCACTATGAAGGCAGTCAGAATGTTTGGAGTAGAGCTACAACCTACATTAAAACCCAATTAATTTCTCATTTGAACACCATACACCACCTGTATTTTAATGCTGTGATTTGCTACCTCAGAGACATGAAGTATGGTATCTTTTGTTATGTTCATGTTCATAACTTCTTGGTTTTTTCTGCATCATTTCTTAACAATAGTTTGACAAAAGTATTGCCTATTCTATGAAGTTCTATCTGCACCAGGGAGCATCTCCAAGAAATCTTGTTTGTTTCTCTCAGGTACAGTTTTCTATAAATAAACAGGTTCCTTGACATAGTAGGTGCTATTCCACATGCTGCATTTGTTCATATCACTCGCCTCCTCTTCTGCCCTCTCTAGAGAAAAGGACACAGAACTACGTATGAACGTATGGCCCAAGCAAGAACACATTTCATATTTGCCTCCTGTATTGTTATGAAGCAAAAGTAAATGTAATTGCCTTTCTACATTTACTTTCATACAATGCCATATAATGGGTTGGCACCTTGCAAAGAAAGCATCAGGAATGAGGTATATGTAGTCCACCATTCCTATAAAGCATTCTACTTAACAGCTACACATGAATTCACACCTGTGACTTTTTCTTGGCTCAAGACTCAAAAGGGACTGAGCGTACTACTGTGCAAAGAATTTTCTCTGAAGACTTCCAAGCTTTCAGCACTTCTTCTTGTCTCTCCAAAGCATGCTTCCTTAAAGAAAAGCCAGGTGAATACTCTCTAGTTACCTTGGTCCTCAGTACAAAGACTGTATTGATATGTGAGAGGATCCCATGGAAACTAATATCAATATGAGGCCGGACCAAGGAGAAAACTGACAACAGACTGCAATTTCCTGGCTGCAGCTGGAATAAAAAATAAAAAAAGAAAAAAAAAAGATTGTTATGTTTTATAATAAAAATATACATGGAGTAATTAAATTCAATTTGCTTAGATGACCATACTGAATGGAAGAGAATATATACTTTATGCATTTCTCCATTAAAATGCAAGGTTTCCAAATTAAGGATTTTACATCAGAAGTATATTGAATTCAAAGTGCAGTTCTAGTCTGCAAGATGACTTTTTAAAATTGTGTTAGACTATCACATTCACTATTTGTCAAACCATCCCCACTCCACAGTAAAAAAAGCTTTCCAGAGTTTTCCTCCTAACCAACCTCCTTCAAACTCCCTTTTCAATAAGCTATGTTCTCTAAAGCATCAACTCTGATAATAAGGATTCTGATAGCCATCCTCAGTAGGCTGAATAGTCAGTTATAAGTGTTCAGTGAATGCCCTTGGGAAAAATCCGTCAGAGCTACTTACAAAGCTCTTCTTTCAAATCTTTCTGCACAATTCAGAGAGAAATCACCAAAACCATATTGCAGGTAAAAGCAAATAACATAAAATTGCATTTTAAAAGCATGTCAATGATTCAGAAACAACATGGTAGGTGCAACGTTAGCCTACATTAATTGTAAAGATCATTTGATGTTTTCATCATCTTATCTTTTGCTCCTGTCATATTACTGTTTTTACCTGTTACTTATTTTTAGAATCACTGTCAGCTCTTTCAGGCAAGAACTGAGGTATCCTATTCATATACAGAATACATAACATTAAATGGACGTTGAGTACTCTTTTACTGTAAATAACCAGAGGAAATTGCAGCAGCTGCCTTCAGTTCAGAACACACATATATATATCACAAACATAGTTTGGCTCATCTTAGTTAATACTGATGCTTTTGATGCACAAGCCAAGAAAGTATACCGCAATTTCTGCTATTCTGCATAGTTATTGTGCATCTGACAGCTTAAGTATTTGAAGGCATTACTGTCAAGTACTATATATAGACTATGTACCTGCTGCTACCCTACACAGTAGTATGGGCAAGACCATTTCCTGAACATCAGGCCAAGTTGCACTGACTGTCTCTCATTCACTTTAGAGAATTCCCTGCCACTTTCATGGCAAATGTATCTTGGAGTGAGCTACAAGGTAAGGATCGGGTATCAAGCTAACAACTGAATTGTGGGGATGATCAGCTTTTCTCTGCTCAAGCTTATTCTCTTACTGCACATGGATATGATCATAAGCAACAGAGCTGTTGTAGAATTAGGGCTATTTTTACAGACCTTTTTCAAACAAGAGGAGCACAATGTAATAAATATTATACAGTTACACAGGAATGCTGTTTAGACAGAGAATCCTAAATTTATTTTATTCATCTTTAAAATAGACCTGTGAAGCTTCTAGCATTAGGATTCTCTATGATTATTCATGCATGAGAATCATCTAACCTGTGGAAGGACTCTGTATATAGCATTGCCACACTGCGTGACCACCAGATCTCTGTCAAATATTATGTGGAAAGGAAAGGCCTTGCAGAAAGTATAGGGACTGATGCGAGACTCTTGGGTACCATTTTCTTCAAATCTGTCAAGATCTTCATAGTAGTCCTCTTCTTTAGACTCTTTCTCTTCAATTAAAAACTGAATGTGGTCACATTCCTCATTTCTCTGTTGAATAACCTAGAAAAATGAAGGAAAAAATGAAAAACTGAAAAGTCTGCTACTAACTAATAACTGGAATGCTACTGTGAAGACAGGAATACATTTAGAGCAGAAAGATGAATTCAAGAATGATACTTGCATCTTGAAAAATAATATATTCTAATAAGCATTTCTGATTTTAGAGGGTCTTTATAATTCCAGGTGAATAATCATGCCTTTGATTAGCCACAGTTGCTCTTTGCGTGAACAACACATTGAAGATCACTGAAATACAATTTATAAAGCCTGAGTGAAATCAGGGGTCAAGGCTCAGGTTACGCTTGCTTTTACCGGTATGTGCCAGAAAACAGGATTCTCCCCTCCCCTTTAATGAACATGTAGCAAGTCTTGAATTACAGACCACTTGAATCCTTATTTTGATGAAAGCTTTTTGCAAGACCTATAACACAACAGCAATCAGTGCTGACCAGAGGATGGGCATGTCATAGTCAGCCAGAAGAAAGGTGGATGGAGCAGATGTTTGAATATACAGTCCTTACACATTGAAGCAGTGATGACTGCAAGATCAGGACCAACAGAAAAAACCAAAGCAATGACAATCTTCTTCAAGCTGCATTCTATATTAAATGAAATGACAGCAAAACCAGTCGTCTACATCAGTCAAATCTCAAATAAGTGTCTTGAATATAGCATTTCACACTTTAGTAATTTTACTCAAAGTTAGTAAAAAATATGAAATTAATAGGGATTATTTTGTTTGCTGTGAGAGTCATGTATTGCAGTATAATTAAAGCTAATAACTCATACAATAACATAATTTACCTTGAGAGGCCAAATTCACTTCTTCTCAAGCCTAATTAGATTTGATGACTGGAACAGAACAATTCTATTTGCACAGTATTGTTTAGCAACAACTTTCTGGAACATGTTGCACCAGATTCTACTTTCATGTAGAGTCTGATCCTAAAGCCACTGAAGCAAAAAAAGACTTCTCAAAAGCTCTAATGCATCCTGATTCTGCCCTTTACGCATAGCTTACCCACAGAGATTAACAGTTACAATATGAAAACAGAACAGATATGCACAAACATTGCACTTGCTCCCTAAGATGTTTAGTTTATTAAATATTTCTCCTCCACAACTGTCAGCCATGCTAGTTGATCGGTGGGGGAGTGTCGATTCCTTTATTTGTTCCTATATAAATGGAGGAGTGTAAAACAACATAACACTATTTTATTGGTAAATGATGCTTAATTTAAGAAGGTAGTGTTCCTTGATCTCCTATTTGACTATTCATTTGAAGGAAAGAGAGGCTTTTCTGGAAGACAGTTCAGAGCAGGAGCCTGATTTAGGTGCTCTATACCATGTGCTGCATTAGTCTTCTCTTTCTATTGCATATGCTAAGTAACTTAGAGGAAGATCAACCTACTAAATTTACCAGCTAATGTAGGTACCTAAAGCTGGATGTATGAACAAGTTCAAATGTTAATGATGATAAACCCTAATTTCCTCAAGAAACTGTGTTGGTAATCCATATGGCAGTGTGTGACAAAGAGAAGTGGCAAATCATGAATTACTAAGAGGTAAACCTCAGAAAGAATATGTGGTGGTCATTTGAGGAGAACAAGGTATGTGGGTTTGTCTAGGAAAATGGAACATAGTAGATGGAGACCTAGTTTTCCTCTCAATTCAGGGTTTAAAGATTCTCCATGTCTTCCTCATCTTTGAAATCATCATCCCTGAAATAGTGAGAGACTATGGCTATACTGAGGATTGATAGAATGCAGCTACAGTCTTAGTTCTTACTTTATATCACTCATACACACTCCCACAGGTTTTATTTTATTATTACTATTATTGTGGCAAGGAATAGCTAAGATTATACACAGTAACCTTTTTCAAATTGTGTAGAATTATCACTAGAATTGTTCTATGCTTCCAGATCATTTCCAGTCTTGGACTCTTACTTCAAAGAGTTGCTCTTGCCACAACTGGAAAAAAAATGCATACATTGGGTGAAAAGCTTCTTCATTCAGCAGAGTCTTAAAATTCATTTTTAAAGATCTAATATTTTTTAAGGAAATGTTCATATTAACAGCGCATCACCTTCCGGAGATATTAGTATTATCACCCAATGACCATCTTAGACACTGTATACTAGTATTCTGTTACCAACCTGCACCTGTACTTACAGGTTTTTTCCTGCAATCATGCAGCACCTAATGGATTTTTCACAACTTCCCATTTTTTTCCATTTATTAGAAATGAATGATGCATCAATAAACAAAACTCAAGTGTTGGTTAAAAAAAATCACCTATAAAAATAGAACTGCTACACACTTCAAGACGTCTAGCTAAATTTGAGATGCGACCCTCCACAGATCCTACAAGCTTACACAGCGATGAAGTCGGTCATCACACACGATGTGCTATTTTTATAACCTTTATATATTAGAACGGTGTCAGTAACAGTGCAAAGCTGCAAATTTCCCAGGCATCTTCAAGTTCATTTGCAACACTATTTTTGACCAGACTTCAGGGCATCTAGAAATGCTTGCTGTACTAGTGCATCACATCAGTGCAGCAAATGAAAAACAGGCCAAACTCACGGAGATGTGTCAGATCTACAAGATGGCCACAGTGCCAGCTGCTCACTCCTGGTAAATGTGATATGCTGTGGACATGGCTGGTTTACTGAATTTGATTCTGGTCATCCATGTACAGACCCTTATTAACAGAAGCTACACTCATACCCCTCTACAGGCTAAAAAAGCTACTGATTCATCCTTAAATAACTTCCCACTGGATATGTAATTTCATGATGCCTTTTCTGCTCACATCATTTATGTACTATCTAATCTTCCTATCTCATGATTTCATCCACCTTGTCAGCAAATTTAAAATGAGAACTTCTGCCCATTAACATAATATGTTAAATTCTGTCCCCTTGTACCTACAGATCCAGTCTAATTGGCCAGATACTTATCTGGCATAAAGATCTGCCCTAGATGCTCTGCAGTTAGCTTAACTAAAATAGAACTTATCTATTGTTTCATTCTGCAAACGAAGTTGGCAAGTCACAGAATTTCAGTATTATTTATATATTGTTGAAGAAGCCTCTGTTAAATGCTTGACAAATGAAAGTTCAGTGACAGAAGCAACAAAGCCAGGAATCAAGTCTAATTCTTCCTTGCCCTGCGGTCTTAGCTGGTAAAGTAGCATCAGTTCACCACATCTATGAGCTCAATCACCATAGTAACTGCAGTTAAAAACTGAACGGAAAAATCACTCTCCTGGTTTCAAGGAGAATATATAACATTTAACTGCTAACCTGCCTGTGCTTTCCAGAAGATGTATCTTCAGAGTTTGTCCTTGCTTAGCCAAGTGAAAAGTCACACCAATATTTCAGGGAAGGACAATTCAGAGAACAGTTATTTTAAAATGACTTTGTGGTTTAATATATTTGGTGAGCTTCACACAAGATACTAAATCAAACAGTATCACTGTGATACAGCATGTAAAACAAACACATGCTATCTGTTAAACTTTCACTGATGTATCTATGGGACAAGACTCAGTTCTACAGATATGAGCATGTCCCCAAGATACTCGTATCTCAGCATGGAGGAGGAACAGAATGCTCTTGGACGGGATCTTTTTCCATCAGATTGTGAAGATTAATACAAAGTCAGGTTTTTGCCATTTAAAGGACAATACAGGATGAAATTCTTGATCTCTTCTGATCAAAACCGACTGTGCAATGCTACTTGACAAATTTTACTGCAGCTGTTTCAGGGTGATCCTGAGGCAAAGCAGTTCATGGTGGAAATGGTACCACTCTTAGCTTTGCACACCCAAAGTTAAAACTGTGGGCATGTCTCCACCTGGCAGCTGGTTTCAAGGCAGAGACTCTCACTGCACTGAACCTCTGAGCGTGGAGCTAGTGAAGTTTCCTGCTGCCCTTGTGTCAGAATTAGAGGCTGATTACACTGCACGATTGACTTATCTTCATACACAGCTAGCATTTTAATGTATGGATCAGTATTGTTTGTCCTCCATAACAAGTACCTAAGCAGTTTTTAGGTCAGCTCTCCAGCTGGTCACATTCTGCCTTTGGTTTTTTATATTGCCATTAGTAATGAGACCGTCAGAAATTACGATCTTGTCAAGGATTTCCCCTGGCCTTTTCTCATTTGATATTGTAAACCATCAAGATTTTGATAGTCTGCTCTCAGATAATAACAGAACTGCAGAAGTCTGTTTTCCCAACAGATTTTTGGGCTTTGTAGGATTGTACAACATTCTTCATTGACCCGTACCATTTGTAGCCTTGAGGGAATCTCTGTCCTGACTTCACTTTCACAGGTCACTCTCATTTATACACAAACAACCTCTGACAAGTGAGGCAAGAGAAGTCATAGCCAGAAGGCTGCTAACAGAGATCTCATGCCAAAGCTTGTCACCAGCACCATGAAGATTTTTAGTTCTCATACTCAGCCTGGCAGAACTTAAATTTTCTTAGTCTGTTCTCAAAGTCAGCAACAATTCTTGGGACAATACCTGCTGCAAAAATTATATAGTCTTTAGCTCTATGTAGCTAAAAATGGATTACCATATCAGGGAAGGTAAGGCAAATTGGATTTGAACTAATTAATCAATTAATGTCAACCTAGGCTTTCCTGAACTATTCAACTGGAATTGTGAATCCAAGTTCAAAACAAATTGCCCGCCTTTCAGTGCTAACAGAGTTTAACAGAGACAAACTGAGACCTTTTATTTTTTTTCTTGCCTTCACCACACACACCCCCTAGGTGTTAAAAGAAAAGGCACATTTCCTGAAGAACACCATTCTGGAAAAAGAAAGCCCTACTGTATTTCAGAAGAACATGCATATATATATGTATGTATATATAAAATAGCTATGGGTGAAACTGCAAAAAGGTGATAAAATTTAACATTTTTTTTCCATTTAGCTATTTGTCTACCCAAAGAAACAACTTGGGACAAAAAACAAACAACGTATTTTTATCAATATTTTTTTTCCTCTTTCGATCATGAGATTTCTTAGGTTTTCTCTGCAGGTTGAGGGAGGTCATCCTTCCCCTCTGGTCAGCACTGGAGAGGCCCCACCTGGAGTGCTGTGTCCAGTTGTGGGCTCTTCCATACAAGAGAGATATGGAGCTACTGGAGAGTCCAATGAAGGGCCACTAAGATGATTAATGCATTGGAGCACCTCTCATAAGAGGAAAGGCTGAGATAGCTGGCACTGTTCAGCCTGCAGAAGAGAAGGCTCAGGAGGATCTCATCAATGTGTACAAATACCTGAAGGGAGGGTGCACAGAGGATGGAGCCAGGCTCTTTTCAGTGGTGTCCGGTGCCAGGACAAGAGGCGATGGGCACAAACTGAAACACAGGAGGTGCCATCTGAACATCAGGAAATGCTTTTCTACTGTGAGGAAAACTGAGTGCTGGCACCAGTTGTCCAAAGAACTTTCAGTCTCCACCCATAGAGATAGCTGAAAGCTGTCTGAACACGGTCCAGAGCAACTGGCTCTAGGTGGCCCTGCTTGAGCATAGTTTGTCAAAAGTTTGTTGTGGTAGCTGCTTTGCACAACCCAGATTTCTCCTCTGCCCCACTGATCAGTTTTGTCTCTGCATGACCTGTTGACTATGCTGGCAGAACCCTCTCCGATAGACAGAACACCAAACCACATAAAGGAACAGATGGGGGTAAAAATAACCAAGAAAAAAAACCCGTTATTTTGAACCTTGTTCATTTCCTCAGTCTAGTTTATTTTATAGCATCACAACAGCTGGAGAGACACAGCTGAAGAAGCTGTCATAGGCCAAGCTTGAGCAGTAAGAGAAGGGGGGCTGCATAAGCTGCCTGTGCGACCAAAAGAAATGCTTGTCAAGCAACAGCTTCAGCACTCTTGCAGCCAACTTTCCAACATGGTCCTCCTTGTCTACCTCAACACTTTGAATAAACAGGGACCTAAGAAGAAGATTGTTTTGATTCTGTTGCACCCTTTGTATCTGATTACTAACACCTGCTGTAAAAGTTTGAACTATGGATTTCCACAAAGTAGAACCTAAACAAGGACATCAAGTGTATCACCATCACTATACAGAACTAGCCATTCACTATAAACCTGAGCTAGCTTATAAAAAGAAACCTAAAAGGCAAATACTCTGATATAGCAGTACAAATACCTTTGTCACTGGGGTCCTTGTAAATCTCTTATCTGAGCAAAATCATGTTTTTGTGATACACTCATGAAACTGGAACAGATTGTCTGAGCAAGTATACAATGAAACTGTGCTAGAAATGTAACATGACTATGGAATAGTTAAAGAAAAAAGAATGCTTGCTCTACCTGCTTAGATTCTTTTCCACTTGATGAAAAGTATTTTATGTCAGTTGCAATATTTCTAACACCAGAAACCTTTTATTTGCTATTTTTCCCCAGATATATCTGCACCTTGGATCAAGCTCTGATTTTATACCATTACATATGCAAGGCCTGATCAATTAAATCTTTCTGTTGCTCTGCATGGACACAAAGCAGAAGCCTCTTTCCCATTTCATGAGTGACTTAGCACACATGATGTTACATAAATAAATATGAATAACTGTGACTGAGGAACATTTTTCCACTTCTGGGGCTGTAAGTGTATATTCAGCCACACAATGGTAGTATGAAACCCACAAACACATCTTGGTTCTGGGTTGGACCTGGCATGCAGGCTGGGAGGAAAACACTCTGCTTGCCAGCCAGGCCTCATCAATGCACATCAGCCTCACAGTTTGCACACAGATGAAGAATCTAGGACACAGAGACAAAATGTCCATGTTCTCACAGAACACAGTAGACAGCAAGAAATATATGCCAAATATAAAATAAAGTGGAAAAAAGCACACCAAATAACCCAGTACCTAATTTCTCTATGTGTCATCTCCTTCTTTGAATATGGGGATATTGTTCTGAACCGTTCCCAATTGGGTCTGTTTGCAAATTAGTGCTGGCCTTCTCAGCACATGGCTGACCTGTCCTTAAAGCAACACAAATAATGATGGCTCTTCCTGAGTCAGTACTGATGCCACTGCTTCACAGAGGACAGCAACAATGAAAATGATTGTTTGCCATCACTTCACTTTTGATTTTCTTGATTTTGTCCTAATGACATAAACTTCCAATGTGTACATCCCTTCAGATATTACCTTCATATCTATTTCTGTACCGTGGATCTGTTGAGCTACTGTTTTGATGATTCCAATGACAATATCCTGGAGACCTTCTCTTTCCGAATAGTAATGCAGAATGAGTCCCTTCCCCTTCTCCGCATCAGTGCATCTAAAGGAAGGGGCTCGCATACCCGGGTAAATAGTAGCAAGGTGGTCATGCAAAGCATCAAGGTTCTGGAAGAAGAAATTAAAAACATGATTATAAGGCATTCACTTATTAGTTCTGAAGAAAGTAAGTACATATTCTGTCTAATCTGAACATTTTCTTTCTCCTAATGCTCACGCTCCCATGCATTTGTGTTGTTATCTGTAGAACTGTCATCATAGCACGGTTTTCAGGTAGATCACAATGTTCTTTCCATCTACTGTGGCAATATTTGGACAATGAATGGCATCAAAATTAGCACTATTAAAAATTACTCCAGCTAGTAAGAATTCATGCTTGATTATACTGTATTTTGAAACACTCCAATGATGAAAGACCTTGTGTGTGTTTCTCAATCCTGTACCTCATCCACTTTCACCCCTTCCAAACTCTAGTCCCTATAATCTCCTCTTCAGATGTGAATTTAGGTGTCAGATACAAATATGCATATTTGCATAAACATTGATCTTTTTCCTTATTCTCAATGAAACAGGCTAGTTCTGACACCATAGAGTCAGCCCAAGTTTATAGGGCTGACAAAGTCTCAAATTCTAAAATAAAGATTTAAATGATTAAAAGACCAGCCTCAAATACATACTTTCTTTGAGAATAACAGAAAAAATCCACAGAATACATAGAAGATATCACAGCTGCTGTAATAATGTTTCAGAACAGGTTATTCAAGGAAGGGCAGAGGTCTTCTATTTTTCCAGCTGATGTCCTCGGCATCTTATGTATTTAACTTTAAATTTTGACCAGACAAATTGCTATCTGGAGAGGAAAGCTAAATGATAAATTGATAGGCTTATCTAATAAGGACATTAAAGAGAACAGTGAGATCAAAGTCACACTTAGAACACAATGCTAACTCTGACTTTGATTATGAAGCAATTATCAAGGCTCCAGTTTGCTATTTACTGTATATTTAACACAGAAAGAGCAACACAGAGCAACCTTGCTGGATAGTGTTGCAACCCACACAATTATTTTCCTATGTTGCAAAATTCATACAAGTCCTTTACATCTGAAGTCCAGAACATTACTGCATATTTTAAATGTTGCTCTCCCACCCTCCCAGGTAACTGCTAGCACCAGGCTTTGCATATTGTTTTCTGCCAGCATAAGAAGTGATGTGAAAATATTTTCAATGTGCTGTCTGGGCCATTCTCCACCTTTCATGAGCATCTGTCGATCATCAAATCTGTGGAAGCATACTGAACTTGATTTCATGTGAGCTGTGAAGTGCTCAAACAGCTGCCTCTTCTCCTGGAAGGCCTCCAGAGGAAATGAGAATCTTAGAAATTAATTCCGTAGTATGCACTCAGCCTGGAACTTCCTCCTTAATTTTTTTAGTTTGTTTCAAATCCATTTTTTTGTTGCTGTATCAACACCTCCAAATTGAAGAGGCAACAATCTGGGAGTCAATTCATTCCAGCTGTTAGTGGGCATTCAACTGCAAAAAGTATAAGCTTGAAGGCAAATTCTGTAAGAACTTTGCAGGGTTCAAGACAATGAAATTGGAAGAGACTGCTTTGAAAGAGTGTGGATGAGAAAAGAGCGAGAGAGCTGACTGGCTCCAAGGGAGTGCCCCACAATCTCCTTAACTGGGTGCAGAACTGCTCTTTCAGTACACGTGCCTCAGAAACAGATGGGATATACTGGCCTTTTGGAAAAAACCTCTTAAGGAGATACATGGGAAAAGATGATAATCTTCCAGTTACACACTCATCAACACCTGAAGAATTTCAAAAGGAGCTTGTTACAAGAAATGGTCAATGTCAAGGACAGAATTTTTATAAGATGGTTGTCTAATTATTAACATTCAAGTCCAGCACAAGTGCTGCTAACAAATGGCAGTAGTCCCATTCTACAAGACCGCTTTGCCACCCTAGTACCCCATTACTGACTTTGTCCAAGCAGTGTCACAGGCGAGCCCATGTGATATGCCCTTCAGTCTTGACTCTCTAATCATCCAGAGTGGGGGGACTTGCCTCAGGATGTACTGCAGCTGTTTTTCCAGTCCCCAATGTGTCTTTTCTCCCTATGCATCCAGATCATGGGGTGAGCAATGAGCTTACTGTATTCAGAACCTTGCTACAACACATAGTCAAGAAGCAGCAGAGATATGCTTCCAGACCAAGGACCTGAAATCACTCCCAGATCCTGTCATTTGGACATTGTCATTGTCACTCCCACTCCCATTTTTTGCTGTGTTTGATCCATTCTAAATTGATATTGCAGCTTCTGGAAGAACAAATGTGTCTTTTTCTAGTTTGGTCACCTGCTGTGGGCCAGAGGTGCAGTCAGGTACAGATAATAACAGGTTAAGCTCTCTCCCTGAATTGTTGGCTCATAGACTGCTCAGATGTATGCCAGAGTTTGTGCTGGGACCAGAGACACGAATTCTAGAGCTTTGTAGAGCAGCGACCAGCTCCATGGTGAAACACAAAGGGATATCCAAGCAAGAACAAGCAGTGATACTAAATCAGGCACATCCTGGCCTGTCTAAAAGCAAGAGAGTTGTGACTGGCACCTGAAATACAAAGACATGCTGTTCAGCTCTGTGTGGTACACAGCATCTGGAAACTTTTCTAAAAGAGGAATTAGTCCCCTGAAATTTATTGCACTGCAATCACAAACAACTAAGTAGCCTTGTAAATGATTCCCTAAATGAGAGAACTAACCACTACTCCAATGTTTGATTTTCATTCAGTAGAAAGCTACTGAACATAACATAAAAGCCCACTTTGGGTTTCTTAGGACGTACCTCTTTTCACACTGCTTCTCTTTGGCACAGTGTCTTTCAATATGATTTGCATTTTTCCAGGCCTGTGTTTTTCACAGAAAGTATAAATATTAGATTTAGTTGCGCTATCTTTTTCCTCTTTCATGAAGCTTGAAGTACCTGTGTTTCATCTACTAGTAAACTAAATTTTCTCTGAGATGTCAAGGGAAACAGAACATAAATATGAGATTTATTTTCACCTGCTTTAAAAAGCTTCAGCCCTCAATTATTTCGTATATCCTGGACTCAGTACAGATTTCAAGAAGCACCTTTTGGAACTCTATTATGTATTTTAAGCATTTGACAAAAGTTCAGCACATTAAAACCAGTCTGCACCTATTTTTGTAATAGGTATATAAATTAGTTTCCTGACCTAATCTGACTGCTGGAAGATGCAAATATAATAAATCATGGATAACGTTGATTTTCCATCATAATAAAAAGCTAAAAAGTATGCTTCTGGCACAGCTACTAATACATTAGTCCTGTTAAAATTTACAGAAGTATATAATAGACAATGTCATCTGTTAACACTGAAATTCAAACAAAGCAGCCTAAAATACTGTCATTAGAAGAATGTAAATGCAAGCTGTTCACGATTTTGCAGAGGTTTGGTGTGCACTACAAATGCATCCAGTCTCTTCATCACCACACATGGTAGGGAATGGAAAGAGAAGTATACTATATGGAAAAGGGGATGAGGGAAAGGAATAGGGAAGGACTGGTCCATCCATGTGTACCCAAAGTGACGGGGCAACAGGCCAGCTACACCTTTTTTTTCCTCCTCCCCTATTCTTGCTCAACCCTAACCACAACTTCAGTACATGAGTCATCCTTAAAAATTACATTCATCTGAAGGCTTGCTTTGAGGGCAGCCTGTGAATGAACCTATGAAATATAAAGGATGCCACATCCCATAGACAGACAATGGTATATGGATCACACATAGTATGCACATGTTGGAGCATACACATACCCTGTCTGTCTGCCCAGCAATTACACTCCATGGGATTTGTACAAGAAATCTGGGTTGACTACATCTAGGATGCTGTGGTATAATCCAGGTTTTGGGGCAGGTAGTGAGACAAAGAAGTAAATATTCTAGTAATCCAGCAAACTACACACTCTGCTCTTTTCACGTATTATTGCTGGAGAGATTTTAAGGCAACGGATGACAAGAGGCTGCTAAATTTCCAGTGAAAATCAACAGAGATTTGACATTCAGCTTTTGGGCAATCTCCCGTGAAATCTTAATCAGTTCAGTGTTTTTAAACTCATTACAGCACACAGTTCTCTCCAAGAGTGATATATATCACAAATCTTAAATCCAAAGTGGTTTTTTGAAGTGAACAATTTTCAGGTGACAAAAAAGGGAAGCCCATTTTTTTCTAGAAATCACACTTTAGAGAAGTCACTACATTTCTTACATGCTATTGAAAAATTGTTTCATTTTGTTTTGGCTTCCAGTGCAGTATCACACTGTTCTGAAGTTAGGAAAGCACAAAAACTGAGTTAAACACTGCTGCTCTATCTCACCCTCAGTTCATGGATGACAGATAGTATCTTAGAGATAAGTGTGTATGAGCCCTAGCTCTGTACATAACGTGCAATTAGAAATAACCACTATCTATCATTAGTAAAAGAGAACTTAGGAGAAGAAATATCCTACAAATCTGAAGACCACATTTTCTGTTAGTACAAACAAAGTAAGTCTTTTTAATTAAAACACACAGACAATTTGAATTGGTGGGTTTTTTCGTATCTCTTGTACTCCATACTTTTGTTAGAGAAAACTCCTGTTAACAACTTTTCTTTGGAATTTCAAACGAAATTTCAGATTTATGAATGTGTCTGCAACCCCACCTTACCTGCCTTCTCAATCCTTTTTTATGAAATAGGACAGTCAAAGATGCTATGGGAAAATTATTACTCTATCAGGCAACTGAATAATATACTGAGAAGGAAAGAGAACAACAATGCCGAAAGTGCTGAGCAGTGCAAAGCTCTAGAGAATACAAATACCAAGGAAGAAAGTTTTCAGACACCTCTCCACAAATAACTGGAAGATTATACAGTACAACCTGTATCTCCAAATCTCAATGTAATCTGTTGACTAGACCACACTTCTGTCTGGTATCTGAAATAATTTGGCACAAAATTCTTACCTGCAAAAACTCTCTGACATTTGAGCCCAGGACACGTAGAATTGTATCATAACCAGATTCTTGACAAAATACAAAAAACATCTTCCCAAACATTTGAAGAATTTCCCCAGCATTTAGATCTAGTTAAAACAGGAAAATGATTCAGTCCAAACACTGCATTTCAGTCACTTTGCTTACTACTTTAGTCTCGTATTCATAAATAAGACAGACAGTACCTAAACTCTACCCAGATCCAGTAGATCAGGAACATGAGAAAAACAAGATTCAGGGCCCACATGGCAAATAATGAGTATTCAATACAGGAATTTCATTAGGATTTACCAAGTACCATTATGACTTTGCTGCATTGTGCATTTCATGCATGTATAGCATTTTGGATTTTGATACAGATAAGAAATCACTACTTGGAAATAAAGGAACTCGGTTGTTGGTAGTGCTCACCTCAGGGGAGTTACTTCTGGTTTTCAATAGCATGAAACCACATCAGCTGCTCCAATTCAACATAACTACTACAGTCATCATAGTCTTATGGGTTCTTGGCTAATTACTGATTCAGAACAAATTCATACAAGACTTGGGTCTGCAGATAAAATAATGCTGATGGGCATAATTCTACCTTTTAAATTCCAGACCACAGCTGCAATGATTGAAAATGAATGTGACCCAAATCAATGGCAGATATAAAATGAGACGTGCTCATGCCACAAACATTTCTGTAACTGAGCA